ATCCATTGAAAATCAGATGAAAGGATTAGAGAAGATCCAGTTGAAAATGATTTGATGTGCGGTATATCAGGGAGTGAGGGAAATACAATTGATTCCAAAGGTGATACTCATCAGCTTGATGAAGTAGAACAGAATAATGAAGAGGCAAAGCTTAAGAAAGAAAATGATTATGGAAAAAAATGTGTACAAGATAAATCAAACATACCTTTGGATACTGAGGAAAAAGGAAAAGAGAACACGGAAGGAACAGATTTACACAATGAAATCTTATCTAGAACAGAATATCCAAAAACCGAAGAAAGACTCTTCCCTGAAGAGGAGGAACTCCTCTATGATGAAGACAGTGAAGATGATGATGATGATGATGACAAGAAGGGATATGATTCTGGGGAAACATCACAAATGAAATCCCCACACTTAAGCAAAAATAAATGTCTTCAACCGCAAACAAGTAAACAGGGGTCCACAGTTGATACAGAAAATTCTCAGTGTATAAAAAAGGATGTAAAGTCTGTTAGTCCTAAAAGAGTAACCAGAAACCATTCAGCTGAAAGAGAGGATTTAGAAACTGAGGGAGGAGCAAGAGGAAGACAGTGCAGGTCCTCACCCAGGAAGGTAGGCAAAAGTGACAGCAGGAATGACCTCTCAAGAAGTCGGTCACCACCAGGTAGACCAAATAGAAAGATTGGGAAGTTGACAACACTCGACAAAAAGTACAATATTAGTGAAAATGACAGCGTCAGTCCCCTGCAAGTTAAGGAAAAGGAGATGCAAGCCAAATATGAGGAGAAGCTAGCAGTGGCATTTGGCAGGAAGACAAGACACGGCCAGAAAGCAATTGAAATGAAGGATACAAATGAAATAAGTTCTTTGGATAGAGAAAATGGAAGAAACAATGATACTGAGAATATACCCTCTGAAGATAAGAATAAACAATTAAAGCTTGTAAGTGAAAGTGAAGATAACTGTGTGAAAGAGTGCTCTAAACAAGATAAGCCATGCACACCTGTAAATACTGAAGATGGAAGAGAGAACACAGAAGGGACAGGTTTACACAAGGAAAGTAATACTGAACCAACAAAGAAGCCTGAAGAGAGTCTTTTCCCTGAAGAGGAGGAACTCCTTTATGATGGAGACACTGAAGGTGATGATGATGATGATAAGAAAAATGCTGAGGAAACCTTAACACCAGAAGCAAGTGCAATGAAGTCCACAGTTGATGCAGGTAATTCTCAGGTAGATGCCATAAAAGAAAACGATGGTAGATCAGTAACAGAAAGTGTGCAGGATAGTCCTAAAATAACAAGAAACCATTCATCCAAAAGAGACATTGAGAACGTGCAGAGTGCAAGAGGAAGGAAATGCAGTGGTTCACCCAGAAAGAACGACAAAAGTGACAGCAGCAAAGATCTCTCAAGGAGTCGATCACCACCAGGTAAATCAAGCAGAAGGATAACGAAGTTGACACCCAGCAAGAAGAGTGAGATCGTGCAAAATGATAGTGTGAGTCCCCTAATGGTCAAGGAGAAGGAGATGCAAGCAAAGTATGAAGAGAAGATGGCAGTGGCATTTGGCAGGATCACGAGACGAGGCCAAAGGGCAAATGCAGAACTAGATGACACAGATAGACTAAGTCCGCCAGCACATTCATCGAATAGAGTGAGTGCTAGAAACACTTCGAGACGTAGAGATAGTGAGAGCCCACCAAGGGAGAGATTGAGAAAGCCTCCAAGGAATAAAGAAGGCGAGCACATGAGAGCAGATCATGAGAAGATCCATTCAGAAAGGAGCACCACTTCAAGAAATAGCGATTCTAGACTGAGAGCAAAAAGGATGCAGGGGAACGAAGTGGAAGAAACAAAGAGAAATAAAAGTTTACCAAATGCAGCGCAACAAAGGAGACCGTCAAATTTGGATGAGGGTGTACGTGGGGAGGTACGGTGGAAGAGACAGCAATCTGAGTCACCACCGACTCACAGAAGACGACAGCGTGTGCATGATAGGCGAATGAGAGATGATGGAGATTCTCCAGACAAGGGAAGTCATATCGGAAAGATTAAGAACAGAAATGACATGAAAGAAGATAGAAATCATGGTGATCCACTACCCAAAGTTCAGAGAGAGAGGAATTGTGTACAGGACCAACAGACTCGAAACAAAGTACCAGTAGATAGCAAACTGTTACATAAAATTTTATGGGAGTCTCCAAAGAAGAGCATTGTCCAGGATGATGAAAAAGAAGAAGGGGAGCTAGATGAAGATGAAGAAGAAGGGGAATTAATAAGTGAAGCAACAAACCGTGGGGAGGCCAAACACAAAGGTACAAAGGAGTCTCATTTTTCCAAATCAGAAGTAGATACAAGACGACGGAATGAACCAAGATGGGAATCAAAGAATGCCAGGCCCACAAGAAAAAGCGAGATGTTGAAATATGAAAAAGCTTTACAAGAAGCCAAAGAAAAACATCGAAGAGCCGAAGAAGATAAGAAGAACAAACTCCCAAGTAAGGAACCAGCTCTGTCTAAATGCCACAGGCCTGATAGGGCTAAAGATAGTTTTATTTGGGAGAAGCAAGATAAGTTTACAGAAAGAGATAAGAAGGTTAATCAGGTCAGTGAAGCAAATGCAGAGAAGAGAAGGCAGAGTATGAGAGCAAGGCACTTAAGGACGTTAATGGAGGACGACACAACTTTTTATCCATCAGATCTTTTCCAAGTTACACCCATTTTGGCTGTCCCGGAAAAGTTAGGCCCTCCCTCAGGAAGTGATGATACCATTGACATACTAGTAAAGCAGAACCATGAGAAGTACGGCCAGGACAGCCTCAGCACCAGTGGAGACTCGGAGATGTCACTGCTGCATTTTATTCGTGATCCTGAAACGAAGAGACATGCCCCTTCTGACCGTAAATCTTCCTCTTTGAAGGCAACAGGGGATCCAAAGGACGACACAAAGAATCAAGTAGAGGTTAAGTTTAAGGCAAAAGAGCAGGTCGAACCCAGAGGTCTTGCAATTGAGAAAGCCAGTGAACAAAGTTTGGTAAAAGACAATAATGTTACTATTGCAGACACACCACTGATTGGTGATCTGGAGCAAGAGCATGATGACCAAAATTTGTCAGGTCATAAAAGCCCGTTGAACCAGAGTGTAGACGAAATGGTGACGGAGGCTGGAGAGGACGATGACTGCCACACTGAAAACAGCTTGGAAACAAGAAATGATCGAGTAGCAGAGAACACTACAGAGATGGAAAGCACACATGAAGGCGGGTATAGCAATGTACCTGTGTTGGATGACGCCAGTGCCACAGCTCAGTCTACTGATGCCCACGAAGACAATTCAAGCAGTTCAAGTGACTCAGACTCGGATTCAGACTCAGACAGTAGTGATTGCCAATGCAGCAAATGTGGGAACAGTAGTAGCAGTAGCAGCAGCAGCAGTAGTAGCAGTTCAAGTTCTTCAGATTCTGATAGTGACTCAGATGCAGTCATTGAAGAAACCCCACAAGAGGCAACAAATACAAGTGTAGCTGGAGGTGAGCGAGACCAAAGTAAAATAGTGAGCCATGCGAACAAGAAATCTCCAAGAAAAACTCCACGGAAATCACCGTCCAAGCGAGAGAAATCACCGAAGAAACCCTCACCCACTAAGTCGCCCCACAGGACCAGTAAGACCCCACGCAAGATGCTAAAGACACCACACAAATCTCCTGGAAAGGTTCCCAAAACTCCAGGAAAAACGCCGTGTAAGAAACTTGGAAAGACACCCAAAAAGTCACCTAGTAGCAAATTTAAAGAGCCAGGTGTTCAGATTTATCCGGATCTCCACAGCATGTTGGAGAAGAATGGCGTGACTTCAGCCGATGATAAAAAACAGAATGCGGCTTGTAATTCACAGGCACCAGGTACAAAACACAATGCCAACAAAGGCCATGTGATATCACCGCCACAGATACAGATGCTGATTTGTTCCCACGACGATCTGAAATCCCAGGCCAGGAAGCGAGAGGAATCAGGTAGTGAATCCCAGTCTCGGAATTCAATTGGCAACGGAGCCCCAGCTGCACCTTCAAGTAGTGCATCATCGTCCACTATCCAGAAAGTTTTCGTTCGACGTCGGGCGAGGAGACCTGCCAATTTCTCACCAACCAAATCTGCAGCAATGAGTTTATCGTGCGTGAGCGGGAATAGTGCCATCTCTCTCGTGCACAGTGACCAACAGCCGTCAGGAGAAACATCAAATTCTGATCCCAAAAGCATCCAGGATGAGAGCGTATTCAAAGAAGGAAATCTTGCCACATCAGACGGTAATGGAGAGGAAATAATCTCACGGAAGAGAACCAGAACTTCCATCAGTGAGAAAACCACGGCCAGTAAGCGTTCCAGAATGTTATCTCCAGAATCTAGGAAGGAAATAACTGTCAGCAGAGAAAATGTGGAAAGAAAAACAAGTGAGAATGATGCTGCAATGTCTGCGGAAAGTCCAGCTAAAGCCAGCGAAACGGGTACATCAACGAAAGCCACCGGAGCTCCGAAAGAATCCAACTTCGTGCCAGAAGAAACGACCGACGGACCAGTGAGAACGTCGACCGATTCTTCAAGAGCGACCGCAGGAAACGGAAAGTCAACCGTTGAAGTATCGACAACAGATAGCAAGATCATCGTCCCCGTTAAGATACGACGAGTGAAAAGACAGCTCAACCTCGGACTCTCTAGCTCCGTTTCGAGCGTGGTCTCTTCCGTGCCCGAAAGAAAGTCGCCCTCGAAGTCCACTGCGGCCTCGACGTCTGCCTCTACTCCGCCTCCAGCTAAGGACAGGAGCAAGTCCGTTGAAAACTCTCCGACAAGCCTTAGAAGAAGTCCGAGAAAGAAGCTGGTGCCTACGTAGTATGTGTAGATCCATGTAAAAATTGTATATATTCTATTGCAATATCTTTTTTTTTCTGACGAGTTTATGCCAATATTTCTATAGTTTTTTTCCAGGTTATAGAAGAAGTACGACGTTTCTAACTAAAAGGAAATTTGTGCTATAATGGGACAATTTTATATATTCAGGTTACTTTGTCTTTTAGTTGGATTTTCAGTTTTATTGTTTGAATTACGTAATGTTTTCCCAAAGAATAAACGTATTTGAAAGATATAGGTAAATGTCATGTATAGGATGGCAGTTATTGTGTATATATTGTATGTATTTATTGATATATATTTTTCTGTCAGTTGAAACGAAATAAAGCTACACGTTTGAGAAAAGTTATTTTTGAATAATCTTTTACAGAGAAAATAAAAGTAAAATACTATTACTTGTTTTCATTGAAATTACCTAATGTACCTCATTTTCTGTAGGGGATTCCCCTTTTCTTATGTGCCTCTCTCTCTCTCTCTCTCTCTCTCTCTCTCTCTCTCTCTCTCTCTCTCTCTCTCTCTCTCTCTCTCTCTCTCTCTCTCTCTCTCTCTCTCTCTCTCTCTCTCTCTCTTCTCTCTTCTCTCTCTCTCTCTCTCTCTCTCTCTCTCTCTCTCTCTCTCTCTCTCTCTCTCTCTCTCTCTCTCTCTCTCTCTCTCTCTCTCTCTCTCTCTCTCTCTCTCTCTCTCTCTCTCTCTCTCTCTCTCTCTCTCTCTCTCTCTCTCTCTCTCTTCTCTCTCTCTCTCTCTCTCTCTCTCTCTCTCTCTCTGTCGCGATGGTTATTTAATTTCTCTCTCTCTCTCTCTCTCTCTCTCTCTCTCTCTCTCTCTCTCTCTCTCTCTCTCTCTCTCTCTCTCTCTCTCTCTCTCTCTCTCTCTCTCTCTCTGTCGTGATTGTTATTTAATTCACGGCATGAAATACAGGAGTTAGACCAAACATGGAAGTGGTAAGAAACGCTCATCTTTTTAGGGAATCTTTCTAATGTCACAAGTCCAATGGAATATTTTTTCTGGAGTTCTGATGTTCAAGATAAACGCCATCACAAGTAACTTTGGTTAGAAATAAAGAAATAAACTTCAATTAAATATCATGATAATGATTTGAGCCCAATTTACATTTTGGTGCTGTTCGATCCAAGGCCCTGTCCACCCAGTTTCAAGTTCGAATCACTTCCTCCAGCTTGAACACCTACCAGATTTAATAGTTACAGGATAAGCCATACAATTCAGCTTAGCAAGGGAATTATTATTATTAATAACTGGGGTGAAGATGGTTCCACTTGTGACTGATTGACCTATCTCCAGCTCAGAAGGTGGCAATAAAGTGGTAGGAAATGGGTAAGTGGGTATGCGATTGTCATGAGACCGATTTTTCGAGGATTTGAATACTGTATGCCCAAGGTATAGCTCCAAAGACTTCGAGCACAAAAACAGAAATGACCCTTCGGTACAAATCCTGGGTCACTTACGATCACATGATATCTTTGGAAGAAATGAATGTAGCGGACCCAGTATCTTTTTTTTGCCTTTGTTGGAATCTTGGTGTAAGGTATATGAGCCACGCCTCTTTCCTCCGTTCCTTTCTTGTAGCGATTTTGGGTAATTCCTCCACAACAGGGGCTTCTCAAAAGAGCCTTAAGTTAAGGTGCGCTGGAGGCCTTAACCGTCCTGCTGTATTTCCCTTTTATAAGAGCGAAGAGTTGATTTCCCGCCCGCCGGAAAGAGCTAAAGGCTGCTCTCCCCCTGCCTTCACCTAAGGCGCCTTAACTCGCACCAATATGGCGGGTCCCTTGCTCTGTTTATGCGTATGTAAGACTACTCGGCCGTAAGTTAAGGCGCCTTAAGGAGATAAAGCGCCTTAACGCGTTTGAGAATCTGGCCCCAGGTATCCTTGAGAGTAATGGTACTTAGCAAAATCACCTTTTCAGTACCAAGACCGAGTTCGGTTACATTGGGGTGGGGATGGGGGGGGGGGAGGGTTAAAGTTGTGCATTTAATTAATATCAATTTATGTTTTATTATTTGAAAGACTGGTTATCGAATATGGGGTTTGCAGTAAAGATATACATTATACAAAACCCTTGTGAGCATGACATGTGGCTCACTTGATCAAATTTCTTCATATATTGTAAACTGTTGGTTAACCTTTTCGAATAAAGTGACTGACACTGGATGGAACTCAAATGAGCCGTTAAACAAAGCATATTTTTATAGCACAGCTGCCGTTGCATACCATAAAGAAACATGAGATTGTGAAAGATAAATATAAACGCAATAGGGCAGGTTTGTTATTAGTTTTTTTCAAGTAACAAGGATACTTGATTTATTTATGTAAGACCAAATTCAGACGCCATTGCATGAATTTTTAGAAGCTTTGAGAACCAATGGAAGGTCAAATGGTGTCTTGTTTATAAAGATGACCGTACTAACCAATATAGAAGTCGGATGTTGCTAATAAATTTAGCATCTTCAGAAAAATAATTAAATATCAATATGGTAATATAGGATATTTGGTTGAATAATTGAACCAACTTTTTACGAAAGCGTGTCCTTTTCGCGTTGTTTTCATATTTTATTTTCGGAAAGTTGATGTATCAGAAGTTTACCTTTTCTTTTTTTTGTTACATTATTTTTTTCTCGTATTGATATTTAGAACTATATTTTATGTCTTTCCATTTTTTTCAAGTTATAATCATGTTATGATTTATTGCCATTTGTTTTATTTTAAAAGTTATTTTCATGTTATGATTTGATTACTAATGCCTTAAATTGTGCAGGGAAATAAAACAGCTAAAACTTGATAATATTTTTCTTAGCAACATTTTCCCACATCAAAACTTCTAACACAAAATTATATAGCACTGGAAAAGCATAAACCAGCAGGGGTCTGTATAAATTTACATCAGTGAACACAAAGACAAGATAACACACCATGTGGATTTTATACAGTGCAAAAGTAGTAAAATAAAACTGGCGAAAATATACATTTAAATCTGAAAGGTCAACAATGGACGGCGTTTTTAATTACCAACAATACACACAAGAAAATTAATAATATTCTTTCAAAGTTCTGTAACTATGTCATAAAGTTTATATTTGACACACGGCGCTTTAATTTAACCTTATCCTGTTTCAGCCTACGATTAAAATGTGCGACTGCAACCGTAAAAGAAGTGAAAGAAAAATATTTTATTCTGTGAGGCCTTCCCAACATGAACCCACTGGAAATTTGGCATAAAATAATAATAATGATAATTAAATATAGATACATAAATAAACAGTTACTCAAATTGGCACATCCCTGTCCCATTGTTTATCACGAATTTCGCTGTGGGATGACGTAACAATGCGAAGGAATATTTCAACTCCAGTGCTAAGTATTGCATTATTGGCAATCTTATATACTCGCCTTTAACTTCCTCTTACAATGATAATTTGGTTAAGCTTTATTATATGAAAAAAAAAAACATCTGGCATTCTCAACAAAGGAGTTGAAATTTCTATTCTAATAACATCCCAAGGAAAGTGGACGATAAACTTTTCATAACAAGATACCAGAGCACTCACTAACAAGACCTTCATAACAACATTCGGATATGGTCACAGTTGATAAGCTTTGATAGACTGTCTCTTAAATCACTAAAACACTGACTTCGGATCACAGATATACAGGTCAGGATCGACTCGGAAGCACATAGGGACAGTTCCAAGGCAAGACGCAATATGGATAGGATGAAAGTGGATTGAATACAAGTGGATGTGGACAAGTCTTTCTCTGTAGCCGGTGGTCGTAAGTGCAGTGGAAGTAGTCGCGGCAGCAGCCTGGACAAGCGGGGTAGTTCCCTTGGCGGTTGCACTGACTCATCTGGCCGCCACCTGTAGGGCAGTCTTCTGGCCGCACACAATATGGATAAGTAGGATCTGTGTTGAACACGAGATTTCCTGGGCATTTCGCCACGGTAGGTGTGTACCCGGGGCCAGAGAGGGAAGGTTCACATTGGATGTAATCCGAGCAGCAGTGTTGACATCGTGGGAAGCTTCCAGGGTGGGTACAGCTGCTTACATTGGCAGAAGATCCTCGCAAAACTGGATCGTAAGGGCAGTCTGACGGTGGAACACAGTAAGGATATGTTGACACGGTATTGAAAACCAGGCCAGGAGGACACTGTCTGGTTGCTCGCATCATCTGGTTACCACTATGATAGCAGTGCGTGTACACCCCGACACAGATATTACTTTTAGCAAAGAACCCAGCATTCGAGCACCCAGTCGCTGCTAGATCCTGTGGGGTGGTTTCACTTGGAGTGGGTACCGGAGTAACTGATGAGGGAAAGGGGTTGCTAACGGTGGTTTCTTCCTGTGTAGAGCATGGAGTATAGCACGGGGCTGATTCCACACAACGTCTTGTGATGTTGTTGAATATGGGTTTGTTTTTAGGACATCTGGCGACCACCGGCTGAGGAACTAAGCCATTTACAAAAACGCATGCATAATAACGAGTGCAGTCAGTCAGATCAGGGATTAGAATACCTGCACGCTTGCACTTTGGCTTGCAGTGATCTGGAACAGTGTCTCCTGAATCCGAATTTGATGTCATTGTTTGTGGAGTGACTTCTACTGCGGGGCTGGTGTTCAGAGTAAAGGCTGTGCTAAAAGTTCCCTCAGATGGACTGGTGCCGCTAGTAGCTCCAGGTTTTGGACTGGTAGACCATTCCTTCTGGAAAATGGATAGTTAGTAATAGGTTCTTCCGGTGTTGGGCTGGTACTACTAAATCCTGGCGTTAGACTGGAATGATAGGTCCTTTTGAGGGTAGACTGGTAGTGATAGGCTTTTTGATGGTGGAATGGTAGTGATAATTTCACTGGAATCTGGATCATTAGTAGTAGTTTCTGTTGTTGGACTGGTGCTTATGGTTTCTTCTGGTGTTAGAGTGGTAGTGATCATTTCTTCATCTGTTGTACTGGTGATTTCTTCTGTTGCTGGACTTACAGTGAAAGGTTCTTGTGTTGGTTTGGTACCGACAGATTCTGTTGGTGTCGGTTTCTCGCTAATAGTTCCTTCTGTTAGAGTGTTATTAATGAATCCTGCAGGTGATGGAGTGATGGATCCCACTGTTGTTGATTCACTGCTTGTTTGCTGACAATTCAAGGTGCGACAGGGAGCATGGCTTTGACAGGTCTTGCTTTCCGTATCAAACACAGGCTTCTCTCTTGGGCATCTGATTCTCAAAGGGCGAGGAACAGTACCATCGAAGAATATACAGAGGAAGTAGTGATGGCAACTGGTTGGATCACGCACGATAGAATTTGGCTTGTCGCAGTAGATATTGCAAGGCCCATCGTCACCAGGGATGATTATGGGTGTAACTTGTGAGGGTTTGCCACTGGTAGCTAATGTTGTAGGAGTTGTAGCTATAACCCCTTCACATGTAGTAATACAAGGAATATCTGCAGCACAAGAATGTTTCTTCAGGTCAAAGACCGGTCGTTCTGGGGGACATTTTCCTCGAATTGGTGTATAGTGGGGATATGGAGTAAGGCGAGTGATGTTGCATGTATAGAAGTGGTTACAGTCAATAGGGTCATGGACAAGAGTGTGTTGGGATGAGCAAATTGGTCGGCATAGATTAACAGATGTTGAAGAATGTGTTGGCGTAACTGTGGGCGATAGCGTCACTATAGAAGAACTGGTATAGGGATATTCTGTTGTATCGGGAGGCACTGTAGACGTTGGCAAATGAGTCGTATTTGTGGCTCCTGGTGTTACAAGATCAGTGTCCGGGCATGTTGTGATACAGGATGATTCTGCTCGACAGCTGTAGCTTTCCAGATTAAAGACTGGGCGAGAGATTGGACAACGAATCCTTGTGGTGTGGGCTTGTCCCTGTACAATCATACATACATAGTAGTGATGGCAATCCAAGGGTCATGCAAGATGGTTGTGTTGAGTGCAATTTGGTCGACACTTTCTGGTATCAACATTAAAGCATTGTCTGTGTCATTTCCAGTATGGTTTCACTCTGCTGGCATGTAACCTGACATTCTGCAAAGTATGAACAGCTTTCGCTGCTTGCATCGAACACGGGTCGGCTCGGAGGGCAAGCCATTCTTGTAAGAATGGTGCTGTTACCATTGGCTCTACAGGTATAGTAATGGTGGCAATCCTTGGGATCCTTCACCACAGATTCTGGTCGGACACAGGAGGGCAAGCAAGGATCATCCAGGTCTTCAACTGCTGGCGGTGCTGTAGTTTCTAGCGAAGTAGAGGGAACAGAACACATTTCAATACATCTCGCCTCGGCTTCACACCGGAGTTTAGTCCTGTGGAAGAAGGTTTGGTGGAAGGACACCTCGCACGAACAGGATGCCGTCAGACCTCTCAGGAAGACACATATGTAGTAGTGGGTGCAGTCCATTGGGTCTGGCACCAGGGAGTTCGGAATGACGCACTTAGGCTGGCAGCTGGCGGTGTCAGGGGTTGGGGAGGCATCGGAGCAACAGCACCAGGACAGGTTACCACACACTGAATTGATGCCATGCATTTCCCTTCATCTTGGCTGAACACTGGCTTGTCTTCGGGACACCTGATGCGTTGAGCTTCATGGAAAGATAATCAATGAAGTGACAGACATAGAAATAATGGCAGTCTGTTGGGTCTGCTAGCCAGGAGTCAGGTATGAGGCAGGTAGGCTGACATATTGATGGTAGAGTACCTGATGCCGAGACATTTTGGTATGTTTGTGAGTTGTCGAACGGGGAAGTGACACCTGCTGGTCCTTCGCTGTCAGTGTCAGCTTGCATATCTATGGGGAAAGTTGCGAAAGCTGGATGCACCATCTGGCCAGGAGGAAGCGTAGTTTGAGCAATTAAAGAGGAACCAATTGTAGACGTTACTGTTGTGACACTAACAGGCAGTAATGTACCTGTTGGATTGATTGACAATGACGGCTGCGATATAACAGTTCCAACTGTTCCAGGGAATGTAGTAACACCAGTGACTGCACTAGACAGTGATATAATACTAGTAACTGTACCATACAACGATGTTACACTTGTGACTGCACCAGGGAATGACGCAACATTCGTCGGTACACCAGGAAGTGTTATAACACTCGTGACTGTACCATACACTGTTGTAACACTTGTAGCTGCACCAGGGAATGAGATAACACCTGTGGCTGTTCTGCACAGGCACCTGTGAGGCAGTGATGTTACACCTGTGGCCAGGCAGTGATGTTACACCTGTGGCTGTTCCAGGCAGTGATATAACACTTACGACTGTACCGTGCAATGATGTAACACTTGTGACTGCACCAGGGAATGAAGCAACACCTGTCGGTACACCAGGAAGTGTTATAACACTCGTGACTGTACCATACACTGTTGTAACACTTGTGGCTGCACCAGGGAATGAGATAAAACCTGTGGCTGTTCCAGGCAGTGATGTTACACCTGTGGCTGTTGATGGTGGCTGTTCCAGTGATGTTACACCTGTGGCTGTTCCAGGCAGTGACGTTACACCTATGGGCAGTGATATAACACTTACAACTGTACCGTGCAATGATGTAACACTTGTGACTGCACCAGGGAATGACGGAACATCTGTCGGTACACCTGGCAGTGTTATAACACTCGTGACTGTACCATACACTGTTGTAACACTTGTAGCAGCACCAGGGAATGAGATAACACCTGTGGCTGTTCCAGGGAGTGATGTTACACCTGTGGCTGTTCCAGGCAGTGATGTTACACCTGTGGCTGTTCCAGGCAGTGATATAACACTTACGACTGTACCGTGCAATGATGTAACACTTGTGACTGCACCAGGAATGAAGCAACATCTGTCGGTACACCTGGCAGTGTAACACTCGTGACTGTACCATACACTTGTAACACTTGTGGCTGCACCAGGGAATGAGATAACACCTGTGGCTGTTCCAGTCAGTGATGTTACACCTGTGGCTGTTCCAGGGATGTTACACCTGTGATGCAGTGCCAAATGCAATATGTAACACTTGACTGCACCAGGAAGACTGTCGGTACTGTAGTGACTGTACATACACTGTTGTAACACTGTAGCTGCACCAGGAAATGAGACAACACCTGTGGCTGTTCCAGGCAGTGATGTTATACCAGTGATGTTACACCTGTGGCTGTTCCAGGCAGTGATGTTACACCTGTAGGCAGTGATATAACACTTACGACTGTACCGTGCAACGATGTAACACTTGTGACTGCACAGGGAATGAAGCAACATCTGTCGGTACACCTGGCAGTGTTATAACACTCGTGACTGTACCATACACTGTTGTAACACTTGTAGCTGCACCAGGGAATGAGACAACACCTGTGGCTGTTCCAGGCAGTGATGTTACACCTGTGAAGGTACCAGGCAGTGATATAACACTTACAACTGTACCGTGCAATGATGTAACACTTGTGACTGCACCAGGGAATGACGGAACATCTGTCGGTACACCTGGCAGTGTTATAACACTCGTGACTGTACCATACACTGTTGTAACACTTGTAGCTGCACCAGGAAATGAGATAACACCTGTGGCTGTTCCAGGCAGTGATGTTACACCTGTGGCTGTTCCAGGGAAAAGTGTTACACCTGTGGCTCCAGTGATGTTACAAGGCTGTGATGTTACACCTGTGAGGCAGTGATATAACACTTACAACTGTACCGTGCAATGATGTAACACTTGTGACTGCACCAGGGAATGAAGCAACATCTGTCGGTACACCTGGCAGTGTTATAACACTCGTGACTGTACCATACACTGTTGTAACACTTGTAGCTGCACCAGGGAATGAGATAACACCTGTGGCTGTTCCAGGCAGTGATGTTACACCTGTGGCTGTTCCAGGGAAAAATGTTACACCTGTGAAGGTACCAGGCAGTGATATAACACTTACGACTGTACCGTGCAATGATGTAACACTTGTGACTGCACCAGGGAATGAAGCAACATCTGTCGGTACACCAGGAAGTGTTATAACACTCGTGACTGTACCATACACTGTTGTAACACTTGTGGCTGCACCAGGGAATGAGATAACACCTGTGGCTGTTCCAGGCAGTGACGTTACACCTGTGAAGGTACCAGGCAGTGATATAACACTCGTGATTGTATTAGTCTGTGATATAACGCTTGTGACTGTGTCTTGCAGTGTCTGCACACTTGTGACCACTCCAGGAAATGATGTAATGCCTAGAACTATACCATTTTGTGATGTTACACTTGTCACTGCTCCAGGGAAGGATGTAAAAGTAGTAGCAGTACTAGGCAACGATATTATACTAATGATTGTACCAGAAAGCGATATGACACTAGTGACCGCACCTGGAAATGATGCAACACCTGTAGGTATACCTGGCAGTGATATGACACTTGTGACTTTACCCAATTGTGTCGTTACACTTGTGTGGGCACCTGGAAGTGATATGACACCGGTTATTGCACCAGGCAGTGTTATGACATTTGTGACTATGCCTGGAAATAACGTTGATCCGCATGGTGATGTGACAGTCGAGATTGTTCCAGGCAGTGACATTACACTTGCGGTTGCACTAGGTAGAGGTGTTCCAGCTGTGATTGCACCTGATACCAATGCACCGCCTGTGATTGTACCAGTCAAGGCCGTTATATCCGTCATCGTGACTTTAGCAGGCAATGATGTAATATCTGTGACTGTGCTGGCTGTGCTGAAGCACCAATGACTGAGCCAGGAAATGAAACCACGCTTGTAAATGCACAGGGACTGATATCACACTCGTGCCGTACTGGGTTAGCACACTTGTGACTGTACCCAGTAGCGAGGTCACAACCGTGAGTGTTCCAGGCAATTTGTTAATGACTGTACCGGGCACTACTTCTGATATCGCTATAGTGCCATTTCCACCGGGTAGTGAACAGGGGGTCCTGCATTTAATCCCCATGATGCACATCTGAAGGTCCGGACTGAATATCGGCATCACCCTGGGACAGATGTAAGAGCGCGCCACCAGGACACCTCTAGATAAAACACACTTGTAATATTTGCGACACGAATAGGGGTTCTGTAGCCTCGAATTGGCCATCACACACACGGGGGGCGAACACGGGCTTATAACCACAGGCGGGCGACTGACCACGGGGAGGACACTAGTCTGCCCCGTGGCTGAGGCGGGGAAAGCAGCAGGCAGGACCGTTGACAGCGAAGTAAGTGTGGCCGGTAGAGTGGAGGGCGCTTGTATGAGGGGCTCAGTGAGGGTTGCGGGCTGCAGGTCAGGCTTGTCCACGGAGAGCGTAGACACCGACGAGGGTACCGCCGTGGCCTGCATCACGTAGGGTTTGGTGAGGGAAGCCGGGATTAGAACAGGCTTGGACGTGGAAGGCTGCGGGACGGTGCTGGGCCGCGTGGCATGTGACCCGCTGAGCACGGCGGGCAGGGTGACGGGGTGGACTCCCGACGGCGCGGAAAGCGTGTCTGGAAACAGGATGGGGTGGAACGCCGCGGGGTCCGTGAGCGTCGCAGGCAGGGTGACGGGATAGTGGGATAAGGACACAGATACACCCCCTTGGACAGCAGCCAAGTTAGCCTCCGCCTTCATCAGCATGTCGGGATCCACCTGGCAGTTGAAGTCGGTGTAGTTGGCCCAGACCCAGGTGGAGAAGATGTGGGTGTGCGGAGGGCAGGAGACGCGGCATCGTGACTGCTCCGAGCACTTCTGGCGATAAGTGTTGAACACGGGGCTCTCGGGAGGGCACTTGCACCGGAGCAGCGCCAGCCGGCCGCTCGGGAGGTGCGAGCACACGAAGAAGTGCCTGCAGTCGGTTCCGTCGGGGCGCACGGTGCCGTTGTGGACGCAGCTCGGCAGACACAGGCCGCCGCGGGTCTAAGGAGAAA